CCCAACCTTTGGTTCATCAATCCTTGAAGGGCTGCGACTGTCATGCCCAATGGTGCTGGTGGCATGTCTAGGACAAAACCAGGGAGCTCGTTAAGGCCATGGTCTCCCACAGCCAGCGTCCAAAATGCCAGAGTACACAACAGACCTAGTAGAGCTGACATTGATTGCTTAGGGCGTCGGAGATCTGGTGGCAGCTGAATCTTGAGCCAGCCCAAGCTTGTCAGCTCAGGTCGTCAACTGTTAATAGAACAGAAGCCTGGTTGCAATGTGTGAGTTCAAACGTGCTGGCATCTCTGACTTGCGCTGTCCAGAAACAACCAGCACGAGAGTCAAACCAGTAGCCCCAAAACTTCACCGGAAACCTTGGTGCTTTCTGGCCTGAGGTTTTGGAAGCTACCAATCTTGCTGCCCTCTGCAAAACGGAGGTCTCTTCATGTGTTTCTTATCTACCCATAAGTATATGGCTGTAAGCCCCGGGAATAGTGACCACGTAACATCTGAAGGGGTACGTACAGTGCCAATACCGCGAGGAATCCCACGGTGCAACCCAGTACAAGTCTTTGGATAAGTTGTGCAGCAGCCCGGAAGTACAAAAAGTTGAACCGCTCTCTGACCGAGTCACCAGCAAGCTAAGCAGACAGTCATTGGAGGAAGTGCCCCAAATAGACCCCGGTCACAGGATAGCGCTGCTACAACCCCTACTCCCTCAACGTCATTCTTGGTCTGCACGACGTCTGGAGTCCTAACCACGTACTCGCGCGATCCGGGCATTTCCAGCTATTGCCTATTGCGCTATGGCACAAGCAAATCCAAGAACATACGTCCACAAACTCTTCGCCGCTGTGAAGCACAAACCACGCTGTTTCCCAAGCAGGAGCGCTCTCGCTTGGGCGGTGCTTCTAGTCCCCTTGTCACTGCAATGTGAACAAGGGGTCCTAATTGGCGCTTGTCGGCGCTAGCTGGCTCACGAGATTGATTTGTTTCTGGCTGATGAACAGGACCATATTCCCATATGGACTCCACATATAAGCTCCAAACAGCCTCAACACGAAGTGGCACAACTTCTGCAATCATTAGTATACTTACCCTCAAGCAGGAGAACTACACTTCTCAGATACTTCGACACCATCAAGACCTTTGGCCGTAGCCCACGTGGCCAGACCACAGAATTCTGGTTCTCCCCTCTCAGCAAAGTTCATCACTCCTTACGTAGTAATCGATGATTCTGTTCATTACTGCTGAAACCCATGATCCTCAGCCATCATCACAATTGACGTGTATAGAAGCGCTGAGTTACCAGTCCACTGCAACAGCTTACATAACTTGAATCTTCTTCTCGGGCCAGACGAGGAGCATAAGGGGAACTCGGAACAGTCTTCCAAGGTATTCAGGCTTCTACATTCCCCATCGTTAATGCGCTGAGGCTCACCGATCCGCTTCAAAGGCTCCATCATGGCTGCTACCTGTCCAGCAAGACTAACACTGCGGCAATCTTCTTGATGTGGAAGTTTCTGCAAAATGAGGGTATATATATATATATACAAACGTATGTACAGAGATGTAGATGCTTATAGATATAGATGTGCCCCTCGCTTCTTGTATGGGTTATGCATGACCCTGAGGACAGCTTGAGAACATTCCACAGGTCCTGTATATAAATCGGATCAGGGAAGACCAGAGAAAGGGAGGATGTCAACATAAACCTGCATCCATTGTAAACTCTCTCTTTTTCTGGGGCATATACATACATATATATATATAAAGAGAGAGAGAGAGAGAGAGAGAGCTAAGTATCTACACAAACACATGTAACCCACATTGCGGGGAGCTTTTTAGAAAAAAATGCATGATTGTAGTGATGGAACGTCGCAGGCAATCGCCCAAAGCATGCGCCAGTCGCGACACATAGCCGAACCCCTCATCAAGTGCCTAGCTTCATCCTTGGAACGGAAGCCCGCCCTTCAAGCAATCAAGCCCGAAATTGCTTGCTTGTAAGGGTTCGGGGCTTATGGTTCCCCAGTATACACTGAAGCTGTCCTAGCAGCCTTGCGACTAGTACGATGCCTTCCGGTCCTATCTAGGCTCCGGATCCTCCGCCCACTTCTACTACAACTGGAATTTCCGAAAATGACAGTACCCTTAAGGACTCTTAGGGATACATCGCGCAAGATCATAACGTGCCCCGTTGAGGATTCCGCAGAGATCATCTCTGGGAACTCCAACCTCTTGTTACCTTATGGGGGTTGCCCCACAAAACCTCAAGGGTTCAGGGTTTAGGGTTTGGGGCTTAGGGATAATTCCCACATAACCATATAGGGGAGTTATATAGGGATAACGGAAACGAAAAGGGAAACTACTCTGGTATAATAGGGTATATTTTGGGGTTACAGTAAGAAATAAGGGAATTATATACCCTAGTATACTATAATCGTTTCTGCCATTTGCTTTTCCATTCTTCCCTATCTAACCCAAATACTGATCATAGTAACGACAACAAGGACCATGGGAATATAATCCCATATATATATATATCCCCTATAGAATATGATCCTTCATTCCCTACTACAGCCCCAAAATATACCCTATTATACTAGAGTAGTTTCCCTTTTCTTTTCCATTATCCCTATATAACCTCCCTATATGGTGAGGGGTCTGGCGTTCCTGGCCCCCCCCATGGTATGGTCGCGGGCGGGGGGAGGAGGGCCATGAACGCGGGGAATCTCCGCCACCGTTGTCGTTTTTAGCCCTTAGCAATCTCAAAAGTGCCAACAGTCACAGGGATTGAGTGTCTGGAAGGCCCTATCTTCGTGAATGTCGTCACTTTTGGAGCCTGACTCTGTGTACGAGATTCCAAACAGGACGATAGTTACAGGGATAGGCCAGTTTGGGCACAATCCTTGGGGCTGTGGTCGATTTTGGTATTTGAACACTAAAAATATTCCACCCTGAATAGCTTACGTGTCCTTCTAAGAGCCTCTAAACACCTCAGAAACACTGCATAGGCTGCATAGGAATGATCATCCATCTCACTATCGACACGTTTATAGATAATCTTGCTTAATCCACTCAAATATCTTCTCTCATCCCACCACCATGTTATATGGTGTGGGGATGAGAGAAGATCTTACACATCGCCAACGTAATTCCTCAGTTTGTGAGACCCCCACCCACCCACACCCACAGATAGAGGAGAAGACCTCAAGTCATGTCTCTTCACGCCACCCAACCCCAACCCACAGAGGGGGAGGGTCACCCCCAACCACACCCACAGGGGGAAGGGAGGGTCCACCCCAACCCCCCAACCACAGCCATTCACAGAGGGGCGGAAGCGCGTGACCATGTATTCCCTTCTTCCCCACAAGAACCAATAAGTTGGCCAGCCTCATCTGCCAATCTTCGAGCTTCATTTCCCTGGCCTTGCGTTTCTCTTTCTTCACGGCCTTCAATCATGGGCATGCTTTGGACACCCTTAAAGGACCGCCCTCTTTAGATATATCACACCCGCATAGTAGGGCCTGCGATACCGGCAGAGGGTGTGCAATGCCCTCACAGGTGTGGGCGTCCTCTTCCGCAACGCACCCAAGGTGCAGAGATTCATGTTAGCAGGGTCGTCATGAGCACTGTATACTCACACCGTATGCTAGGCATGGGGGCACATCTACTCATGGTGATTTCCATGCATCTATACACAAAGATCTCTAGAGCACAGGGCCTGACCCGACCTCCTGTGCGGGCATGCACCATGAGGAGTCGCTAGAGCCCTCGTACTATTTGCGGTTACTCGTTTTACGATTCAATGCCCTGTGCATAGTATCCACAGCTTCTGATCCGGCATGGCAAGAACCCGCGACAAGCTCGCATTTTTGCAGCCAGCAGTATGGGAACTCTGTGCGCTTCGTTGCAGCGCACTCGGGCTGTCGGCTGCAAGGGAAACCCTCGCGTCAGCCTGTCCTGATGTCATGCCAGCAGTGTTGCAGCCGCGGTCAGGCATTTTGAGGTCTGACTGCAGATCTGCGCAAAAAGCAACTAGTTGCAATGACTACTTTCACTTGCATCACCATCATCATTTGGAATGCCCCATGCGGTCTCTGCAGGATCTGCTGAATTCTTTGCCACAAGCGGCGCAGCCAAAAGCCCCACGGCACGCGGGGAGGAGTCACAAGGAGCAAGCTATGGTGGCAATTCCCAAAATCAAGGTCCCATTCTTGCACTCAAAACTGACAGGATGCTGTACAACACAAGGTTCATTAGAACGGACCTTCATTTTGGTATACGCCACGGGGAACCCAAATTGCACGAGCGGATTTTCGACAAACGAACCTGCATGAGTCAGAAAGGCCTTCTACATTGCTTTGTAACAGACATTCAGCGCTTGTACTCGAGGTTCAAGACTACTTGCCCTTAATCTTCAGCATTGCAAGAAGTGATGAGGATATCACCAGCTCATGCTGAAATGAGGGCAATAAGATTGCCCAGTCTGAAAGGCTCTTAAGGAACTATGCAATAGCAGAATGCTGGTCTGGTTATGCAAGATCCCATCTCACCAAGCAAACCTGCAAACTCTGATTTCAGTAGCTCTCAATGCAGAAGTTACCACACCTGCTCGCAATCTCTCCATGGGATCTGCAGAAGTTAAATGCCGACAACTTCTGCCATTGTTGTTGCGCTTGGAACCTCATCATGCGCAGGAACTGTGTGGGAAGCACGACACAATTGCCCAGGCTCCGTCATAATTCACGGAAAGCCGTGCAGGCAAAGCACTTTAAGGGGGCGTGGATCCCGGAACTAGGCTGGATATCTTCTCCAGCATGTAGGGCGCAGGGGCAGCAGCTCTCTCGTGGAGCACAAGATGCTGCAAAGAAACGCTAGGCCCGCCAAGTGATAGCGGCATCTGGAGCAACTGAATTATCACACTCTGTCAACAAACGGCTGGATCTTGGATGATCATTCGCAGAGCTTCCAGTAGCTTGTATCTGAACCGATCTAACAATTCCATGTTCTCATGAAGCATTGTCGCACTGAGCGCGTACGTCCTCCAAAGCTTGCAGCAATTGCTCTCTAAGGTTGCCTTTGGCAAGACTCTCACAGAGTAACGCTACGAGGCCAGAAAATGACATGCGCTCCAGCGTTTTGTTGAGGGACCTTGGACACTGAGAGTTACTGGGAGGAAAAGCGTGCTTGGTTGTCACTCTTTTCCTTAGGTGTTTGTGAAGCAGATGGTTTTCAAAATCAAGGAAAATTCAAGTTACACAAAGACAACTATGCAGAACAAATAAACACGAGATAGGGGTCGATCAGTTTTATGATAAGCGCCGCAGCTATTGGCCAACCTGGGTGGTATCGTTCCTTGATCTGACTGACGAGAGCTGGAGACAAGTCTCATTTTGTGCAACCTGACACTAATCCTCACTCAGAAAATTCAACAGCAGCTCTGCCCAAAACACAGATACTGGCGACAGAAATGACGATGGTGAACAACGTCATCATAAAGACAAGGAATCAATGGCATCAAGCCAGAAAGGGTAAAAGCTTGAGACTGTACGATCAGCAGCAACGTGGGAGTACTCAGCAAAAACAGTTCCAGTAGTAGTAGCAGAAGCCACAAAAGTGGCAGCCTCCACCATTAGGGTTAACAGGTATCCATAAAAACTCATCATCTCACATAACGTGTTTCGGTGTCAGGAAGGCCCTCCTTTCTCTAACAGGCTGGGAGCGGACCGATGCTCAACAGGGCTGGAGACCGCATTTCATCACCGTCCACAGTTTCTACTTCACTTGTAGCTTCCCCTGGAGTGCCCCAATAAAGTCCCCACATAATCTATGAAGCTCTATGGGTTCTTTTAATTTAAGCTTCTTAAGAGGAGAGGACCCTTGTACACATCCAAAGACATCCGTCACTGCGCCCAGAACAAGATAATACTAACTAGAAATTAATAATATCTTTAAGATGAATACTGTATTAACATAGTAATAAAGGTCGTAAATAGCAATTATACTAATCTTCTTCCTATAGATCATCTTCTAATAGTGACGAGCAGCCTCAACTTGCCGTCCACAACCGGACTGGAGCTGGAGGGGCTTGCAGCATAATCTGACGCCTTTTCGAGCACCGGTGAGCAGAAACCATAGTTTTAGCAAGAACAGGACTGGCCTTTGGCTAGCTGGGATAGTCGGTGGAAGTTACCAGGAACGCGAGCTGTGAATTGAAGGGCATTAGGGGGCCTACTCCAATCCCAAGCATATGGCAACAACTCCCAGACAGAGTCACCTAGCTTCAGCAGTGGATTTTTCCTGTGAACATTCTTGAAATTAGTAAAACGCAGAAACCTTGACCCAGCGGGCAGCATGTGTGAACTTGTTGCTGCCTGGCTAGATGAAAAAGACCGCGGCGAAGTGTCCTGCTCAGCTTTGGCGTGCAAATGCTGCAGACTTAAGACACTTTACGTTCAGGATTTCTGTCGAGAGTGTTCGCAGGTATAGCAAGGACACGCCTAGGTGAAATCGGGAACAAGTCCCAAAAACGCACCTCGGCCCTCAACTGCACTTGCAGAGCGCAAGCAGACGGATGAGTATGAGCGTTTGCGTTAAACCGTCAAACCTGCGAGTTCAGCTTTGGCACACTGCAGCCAGTTGAGAACCCGTGGTAGGGATCAGTTGTAGCAGCAACCTAGTATTGGGCAGAAATCCACTTCCTGTTTCCAGAGGTAGACACTCAATGGACTTGTCGCAGCTCTCTTAAAAAGGCCTAGATACAGGCACCAGCATGTCACATGTGTTGGTAACATGGTACGTCAAGAAGGGACTGCTTTCGAGCCTCCAGTAGGCGCAGAAGGTCCCACGCTTTGCCCCGAAGTTGCGGAAGCCCTGCGCGAACCTCATCAGAAACTGAATAGGGATTATGGGGCTCTGGGGATATTTCCCCAAGAATCGAGGATCAAGTAGCAAAAGATACTAGGAACTGAGGCTTAAAAGGGATATATTGACTTTGGGAGTCAAACGGCTTCAGGGCCTAGTTCATGTTAAGGACAGTGTATAGAGTGACGTTAAAATTCTACATGATCAATGTTGTCCAGGCAAGAAATACTTGTATGGGGTGCTGCTAGGAAGCTGTGACAAAATTTAGTTGAGGCTTCTTCATGGGATCGTTCTGGTGATGTTGTACAGGGAGGAGTTGAGGACTTGCATGGGATGAGGTATAGGTTGAAGGCCTACAGCCTTCGAACGTGAGATTGTCAAATGGACATCCTCAGAACCCACACAGGTCATATAACCCCCTATACAATCCCCCTATGTTCCCCCTTCACTAACCTTAAAAGGGCCCAATTATGCCTGAATCACCTTAATTGAGGCCGGGAAGGAGTAGTTTAGAGAGGTTTAGCAAGGAACCCATGATATTACGTCTTGACTGCCCTGGCTTGCCTGTAGATGCGGCAGAAGGATATCGAACAGCTCTGGTTCAGACAGACCTGCACTTGCAGGCATGTGGGGGCAGGTTCCGGGGAAGGACCAAAATCATGGAGAAACGGCGCGAGTTCCTTCATATCCGGCTCAGTTCTGCTTTCTGCTGACGCCCTCCCTCGACCACCTGTACAGCTTAACCATTCTTTAGCTACAGACCTCATCTGAAAGCCCAATGTGCACTGAAGTCTGGCATCTCAAGAAATCAACAACCCGGCCTCCAAGTAGCGCCCTTTGTTTCTTGTCAGGTCGCGCACGGGCTTCATTGTGCTCTCTATGGCAGTACCTTGGCACCACAGGGAAAGAGTGGGATGAAAAGCTACAAGCTGCTTCTGAAGCCCTCCAGACAGCGTTGAGCATCATACCCCATGTACAATATATATATATATATATACCCTAGAAAAACAGTTTCCATCTTATTTTCCATTATCCCAATATCTTCTCTATATCACCCTGTATTATCCCAATATTAACTAGTTGCTGCATGTTATGCTGGGACTTGTGGCCGCAGTAGTGGTGCGACACTGCAGTAGCCACAAGCAATTCTTAAGCCAAAAAAGCAGCAGAGGCATTACCAGTGCCGTTTCTCATCCGCCAGCATGACAGCCTTCACGAACTGAAATGATGAATGAACAAGGTCGAGTGGCCCACACGTGTCGCCTTGGCTGCAGCGTCCCGCCGCCAAAAAGACGCACGGTCGACGACATACTTCCTGAAATCAGGCGGTGCCCCATGACATTTCGAAGCATTTAAGGTCAATTAGCTTGATAACGTCTACTAATGCACAGTGCCGCACTTGATCCAAAGTTGCCAACACTCTGCCTGTGTAAAAGAATGTGAAAGACAACTAGAGTGGCCAGCGCCTTATAGACTTCTTGGCATGAAGACTCCTGAGGCAACCATCTCTTCGCAAGCACAATTCAGGACGTATGAACTCAATGGCTTCAGATCTCTCAGCAGTGTCGCCCTAGAGGAGATCTAGATCTCTGCTGAGACTATTCCGTCTTCTCTTAGGGCCGTGTTCCTATGCGCCCTTGGATTTTTCTGAAGGTTTGTTTGGAACCCCTAACTTGAACCCTTCACATCCTGGCCCAGCCACTGGGTGACCGGCGCTTCCGCGGCTTTGGCGAACGCGGAGTTTGGATGCCTCGCGTACGACCTCCTCCAAGTAGCGATCCTGGGACTTCGCCTCCTTGGGTACATGACATGCGCCGATTAGGCTGCCCCTTGCAATCGGTTTACTTGCTGCGAGTGAAGAGGAGCTCTCGACAGGACAGGGTGTCAGCCTAGAATCAGCGTTGCCAGCTTGATGCTACGTAGGCTTCATTCCAGCGTTCCCTCATTCTTGCTTGTACACAGGATGTTGTGACGCTGCGCGCGATGTCTTAATTGAGCAGCCCACCCCGATCAAAGCAAAGAGCACTCCTGCTGTTCTTCGTTGTCACTGTCCTCCATACCACCGGCAGGGCAGCTAAATGCCCGCGGCCTGCAGACGCGGCTGCATGCAAGCAAAAAGCGTGGGCCCATACAAGCCAATGACCACCGCGGCAAAATACTGCACTTTCTGAGAAGCGGCCCGTCGCGGTGCATGTGGTTTGTAGAGAAGATTGCGCACTGAATGTTCACTAGCGTAGATGGAGGAAATCTTTCACTACCTTTTATTACCTCTGCCATGGAGGTACGGTCTTGTGGGGGATCCCAAGAGGTGCCGCATCGTCAGGCCTTAGCCGGCAAGGCTGGTCCATGAGCAAAATGGAAAACGTTCATGATGATGATTAGCGATTAGGATTTCAGGTCGAAGGTTTGGGTCTAAGGGTGCGGGTTGGGACGGCAGCATCAGTAGCAGTAGAAGTAAATTTATCAGCTGTGGTCGTAATAGAGCAGGAGCAGAAGGAACAGCAGAAGAGCAAGAGCAGTGGCAACTTGCCCGCCTAGGCGTGCTCCAAGACTCCTCATCCATGTCTATGAACGTTCGTCGGTATCGGAGCTTCGCGCTTGCTGGAGACCTGAACGTGAAAGGATTGCTAGACTTCCGGCTGTTCGCGGTATCACTGCTCGTAGGATATGCCTCAGCCTTAGCCACTGGACTGAAGCTGCGGTAGCGAGGGAGATAGAATAAAGAAAGAGACTGAGAGTGCATGCACATGCACCCTGCAAGTCAAGCCGAGCCGCGAGTAGTTCGACATCATCTCCGTGTTCTGGGGCGACATGGACATGGGGAAGCTGTATGCCCTATCTCGGATCGCTAACGCTTGAAGGAGCGGCGTCGGAGACTCACGTGACGCAGAGGCCTTCATTCAAGTGCGAATGAGCTGCCACTAGGAGCTAGAGAGCTCAGCTTGCTCATTTTGGGGGGCTTCTGTTCTAGAATATCAGAATCAAAAGACATGACCCCGGCTTGGACGAGGCGTGGCTGCTGCTGCAACATGAATGGCTATCCCAGGGCTAGAAGCTGCATCAGCGCTAGCTGCAGTTGGCCACTGCTGCTGCATACGCAGTCTACAGCAACTCTTACCTTGACTTTCGCAACTAGCAACTGGCACAGTAACCGTCACAATGAAGAGGATTCGCGGCCTCTTCTCTGGCTTCCTGCGTTCCATCTCTGAAGTATTCCCCAGGCATCTGCGCAGGGAGCACAGGTGGTAGCCATCAGATAGAACGAAGAACTCTGCGACTTGGCTTGAAATCTCCAGGAATTGGGGTCGCCTAGCTTTCGCTCCGCATGCCTCGGTGCTGAATCAAAACGAAGCATACGAAACTCTCCTACTTTCAATTTACCCTGATTCCCCACCAGGCCCTCAGGACAGAAGCCCGTACTGTTGCACCCAAAAATTCCAGCATCCTCATTATCAAAACGTTCAGGGTGTGGAGCCTGACACGCCTAATGTCTGGGATGGTAGGGTCGGATGGGTTTCAAAGTTTAGGGCTTTTCAGGTTTTGGTTTCGGGTTTAAAGGCTCCAGGCCACACGCGTTGAGCGTCCTCAGAATCGCAACGCCAAACTTTCGCGGCATCGCATGCGACAGTTACATTGACACATAGGTGGCCAGTTGAGTCTGAAAACTAAGGTCCATCTGAACTCAGGATGACTTAGCCATACTTAGCCCTTTGGAGTGGAGATTTTCTCATGCGTTGGAAGTGAAGGGAAGCTTTTCCCAGAAGGTCTGGATAGAAGCGGATGTGTGAAACAACCATGGCTTGATTTTGAAAGTATCCGAAGTAGATTGTTTCTCGAGCCTCTTTGCACATGTGCGGTCTTTCCAGGCTTCTCTCAAGGACATCATGACCTGCTCGTTTCAACGCAGCTTGCTTTCTACACGGTTGAACAAGCCCCTACGACATAGCCATGGCATAGTGTAGCTGAGATGAAGAGTTGAGTTGCGTCTGAGCCCGGCGTTTTTTTTTTGCAGGGAAAGCACCTTGCAGACTTCTTTGAAGCCTCCCCACTGGCAGGTTCTTATTGCTAGGTGGCAGTTGCCCAAAGAGCACCGTGTCCATCACAAGCGCTCGTAATCCCTGACTAGTCGCCCGCAGGGTGGCTGGCTCTGAAAGCAGCGGAACTTAGAGGAACCCTACTCACCAGCACCCGTGTGTCAGCTACTGAAATCAGACCAGGTAAATCGGTGGTCAGGAGTTGAGGGCCATTGATTTTCTATCCTCGAAGCGGCCATCTGGCTCTCCACTTGCTACCGTGGCGTCGATGTCGAGCGCTTTCAATGCAGACCTGATCAGACACGCGGGCCGCCCTACTCCAATGTGAAACATATGAAGCTTCCCAGCAGTTGCAACGCTAACGCTACAGCAGACTTGATCTTGGATAGCTTCAAGCAAGGCTCGACCGACACCTGACACGCATCCCCCTTGTCCCTGGCAGCTGAGGCATCAGCTCCATCTCCTCTGCATGCTTGGCCCAGTCCTGGCTTTGGTCTCTCTTCTTGGTGTTGAGTCGGCTGGAAGTGACTTCGCGTTTGCCTTTTAAGAAACTTTTGGTACCCGACCTACCGTGGCACAGCTTTTCCTACTGTGCACATGGTGGACATCATTTTGTTGTTGTTGTTCTTCTTCTTGTGACTGTGATTAGTGTTGTCCTCGTCGTCGTCGTTGCTGTCGTCGTCGCTGTCGTTGTGGTGGTTGCTGTTGTGGTTGTTCTTGTGCCTGTTCCCCTGATTATTGTCGTTGTTGTGGTTGTGGTTGCTGTTCTTCTTGTTGTTATAGATAATTACGTGCCAGCCAACGAAAATTGACGTCGCCAGTTAACAGTTTGACACCATCTCCGATTGATGCGTTACACGGGCCCAAACTGCACCCGTTTTAAGAGCGTTGACAGAGTCGACGAGACAACTTTCAACCAAGACGAATACCAAACCGCCAAATTTGTCATTTCGGCCGAGCTTGTGAAACGTAACTCACACAAAATTAGGCTTCGGCTCTAACTATGCTCTTTTGCAGCAATTTGTGACTACACTGGCTTTCTAGGTGCCTGGTTGGACGAAGGTTTCAAGTTCCATTCGTACAGCTTGCAGGGCTTTGCGGCCTGTCCTGACTGGCCGTGATGCTTGTGGATGACCAGACTCCACACAAGTCAGGTTGTGGGGTATCTGAGGATCCATACTCACACTGTTTTTCAAAGAGGAACAGGATACGCCAGGGCAACCCCGAGAATGGAACAGTTCGAAGAAGAACTTGCAAAGAATGTTCCAGCCGCGAAATGTATTTGGGAGGGCTTGGACAAATCCCTTCCGAGAGTGTTGCGAGTGATGGGCAACAAGCAGGGATTACCACTTTCTCTGTTGTGATGGCATCGGGCTGGGAAGCAAATGATTGTTTCGGCCGCCGAATGGATCATTCCGGTCAAGTCCTATGAAAGCAACGAGCTGAGAGCAGCAATCACAGTACAAAGCCGGCTTACAAGGTCTGAAAATAACGTTTAGGCCTGTCGGCAATTCCTCTGTACTTTCATTTAGCAGAGAGGAACGAACGGAACTGAGCCTCAACCCCGGAACAGAATGGACACACTCTGAACTTGTAGCCCAACTCGAAAGAAGCCATGATTCTGGGCGCCTGCGAGGCCAGTCCGCCTGAGAGGGACAGCCGTCGAAGCGCATCGCAGCGCTCAGACAGCTCTGTGACGACTGGGGGAGGCCTTGGCCGGGCGCGCACATTGCAACGCAAGGGATCTGACCTCAAGCGGCAGGACATCTCTCCATCCCCAGTGCTTCCTCGCTAGAATTAATCTGGGGCCCTAAGGGTTGATGAAGGACCAAATACTCAAAGCTACACAAGGTCCAAGTTCGCTTCCTGTTTGTTCATGGCCTCCCAAATATCGCCCCACGCCGTACCAGTAGGTGCACTCAGCAATTTCCGTAGACAACTTAAATAGCACTCCCCGATGCCACGATACAAAACCCCTGCGTGGTACCCAACTGGCGTCCCAGCTGCGGTGCAGAGCAGCCTTCCACTCCCAGGTTGTAACGGCTGACGGCCACCCAGTCCTGCAACACCTGCGAATGCCACCGACTACCCATGTCTTCCAGAAGAAAATCTGGGGCTTCTGCATGGAGGGCATGGGGTTGCCTTTCGCACATTGGAGGTTGGCACAAAACGCAAGCTGTAGTATGCACCTGAGAAAACCAGCAGCTGCGCATGCACGAGTCAAAGCATTGGGTCACCCTAGAGCAAACCCAGATCTTCGCGAAAGACATGCTCCCGTACCGAGCAGCCGAAAGCAGGCACACATTAGTTTTGAACTGGAGGCATCTAAGAACTCACGATTGTCAGTGCAACCTGACTATTCACGGCCCCCAGAGATGTGAATGCATCCGACGGGCTTCCTGCATGAAATTTAGGAATAGTCAAGAAAGATCTTCCGCGCATCCGATGAGTTTATGGTATAAACTCATGCTGCAAGCAGTGCAGCTGCTTGTCATCATGGGGCAACACTGTCCGTGTGAAAAGAACGCATAGTCTCTCGTATCATCACAGACGTGGGCCATGCTCATTCCCAGCTGCCGTCGAGTCCCTACCCTTTGTTGGAGGTCTGCAAGCACCCTGAGTCTCATTTAAAACATACGCCTGCTGCAACTGTGCTGCAAAGCCTCTATGCCGTCTTATCTTCTTGCTCCCCATAGTGATGAATTCTGCAGGCTTGTAGACCCCATGCACATTGAAGCTGCACATCAGCAGCCTGTTCCCCTCAGGAAAATTACAAAGCAAACGTGGTCGAGTCGACCGCCATTGCAGCAGTGTAACCATCACGGATGCCTGGAAGCATGTGCGACGACCGCTATCAGAACTAGCCGCCGAGTTCATTGTGCAACCTAGCCCCAACATGCCAACCGAGAGATCATGAGGATTAAGGTCAGTCCTGGTGCCCCAAACCGAACTCCGGCACCACCACCAGGTCCGTGCTAAAGGCGGGACTGGCAAGGGCTTTTTGGCCAGAGATGAAGTCACTCAAGTTAGCGGTAAACGGCGAAAGCCCAGGCTGCCACTGGATAATATTCTGTTCCTACGGTTATTCTTACTAGTCGTATCAGTACTATTTACTATTGTTATCGCTACTACTGTCATTCTTATGAAGGCTGGCTGGAATGGGCCTGCGGCTGACATGCCACAGAAACAGCGGCGCGCCGGGCTTCCTTCAGTCAAGGCTGAATGCATACATGCTTTCCAACCCCTGGGCCCCCGTACAGATCTTGCTGCCTTGTTGCAGGGTGTGCAAGGAGGAGCTGAACTTAGAGAACGCGGGATGTATGCGGAGCTTCCGAGACTATTCTCCTTCCGTGTATGTGGGGAGGGGCTCCTCATCATGACTTGAAATGGAGATCAGCCACGCTCCATGAGAATTGTACAGGTAGCATTCTTCCTCTCCACAACACTGGAAATTTCTCGAGCCATGCGAACGCCTGTTGGCGCAAGGCCTTCACCGCTTACATACACTTGGAAACCCAATCCCGGACCAAATGAGTATGTGCTGCATGGTTGGCGTCACATAGGTACGGCTGCCAAATTCGGGGTGGCCCCAGGAAGACATTCAGGTTTGCGGACCCGTGAGGCCCGGCTTAATGTATTTCGGGGGCTTTACTATGTACGGAGGCTGCGGTCTACACCCACAATTGCCCACGATATAACCGGCTCCCTTTTCAATACATTCCCCGTGCGGGGCCCTCTAAATTCGACCCCATGCGCACCCATTGTACATCCCCCCCGCGCAATACATTAGTTGGGGGGCCTGGTCTGCTAGCGTGCGATTGATCAATCCTACAGACTTCAGATGTCCACAGCCTTGGGAATTATGTCCAGCTTTCGATGTGGGGTGACTCTGTGACGCAGCTGAGCTGCAAGGTGTTGTCTGCTAGAACTCGGCAGCCATCCTGCAGCAAGTTCATCTCCTGGTTCCGAGAAGGCTGCTGTGGGCGCCCGCCGAAATGACAGGCTACACACTTAAGTCCGGGTTGCATTGCACAGAACTCATGATTGGGACTGGGCCATGCAGCCTGCCTCAAAGGTCTGCAAGTCATCATGAAAAAGGCTGCCTCGATGATCCATGAAAACCATGGCCTCAATCAGATCACAAACCATAGCGCCCAAAGATGAAGTACTTTTCGATCATCTGGGAGGCTGGCTACCGAATGCTCACCAAATCGCTCAAGGATGTAGTGGGCCACGTCACCGCTGTTCCCCGCCCAAACCTTCCGCATGCAATTGCTGAAGGCAGTTCTCTTCGGTCCGGTGAGGGATGTATGTTTGGAATGCAAGCTGCTCGTGTTGCTGGAGAACAAGGTGCAAAGCAATTTTTCACTCTGCTCTCGATGCTTTGTTCGTTGCGCTTCCGCTGCCATTTGCACATCGCTCAGTGAAGCCAAAGATCAAACATACATGCAGCACAGAGGAATGATTAGGCATGCACGAAGATTAAGCAGGACACAACACCCAGTTCAAATGCCACGTCGCGATGGCAGATTTCCTTATACTGCCATTAAGGCGTCACCCCTGGGTGACCTAGCTGCGTCACTGATACCCTGCGAGGCAGGTCAGGGCTTCTTTTGCTGTGACAATTGAAGCAACCCTCGGTCAGACGGCTTTGACCTTCATTAGACCTGACTTAAGTGTCCCCATCACAGCAAAGATCCCCACAAAATCAGCATTGCGCGGATTGCTATGGTGAGCTCACAGCACTTGACGTTTGCTGTGCAAGGAGCAGGTTCTGTTCGGCTTCCTCACTTGCCCGCGCCGGGGCCAAACCCAACCAGGAATCACCAGGCACGCGGCCCTTGCGGAAGATGGAGAAGTAGTGCCGCAGGAAGACTTCCCCCAAGATCATAAAGGGGCGGTCGTGGAAGCCGGGCTCCATGTTCATCACGCCGGGCATGCAGTCTCCGGTGAAAGCGTTCTGGATCATGTAGACATCTGGAGGCACCCTGAGCTCGTGGACGGCGCTATGGTTGGACATATTTGTCCCCACCTCAGGGCTTCAGGCGCTTGAGCTCTGCTTCACTCTTCAGCATGATTCGGGCTTGGAGGGGTGCTGGCTAAAAACACAAAATGCTGCCAAACAGGCAGGCAAGGTGCTGTGAAAACGAATTCTGGGAGTGTGTGGATCTTGTCACAATTCATGGGCCACACCTTCTCTGTAATTTTGTTGAAGAGCCTGGGCGGTGCCGTGAAGAACGTAGTCCCACTGTCCACGACAAGGATTGCATTCTCAGGCAGTCCTTGTAGGAGGACGGGACCATCTCCTGCTTCCGGCTTCTTGGGGAGAAGCAGGGGAAGCAGCTGCTCATCTTCCGCACTTCCGAGGCGAAAGCCACGCAGTGCGAGGGACCAAAACCGCTCTTCTGCAACGGGAAACCACTTCATGTCTCCATCATGCAGGCCAAGGCGATCGGCACCTCCTCCCCAAATCACCGCACCGCCCTTGGTCGGGTTCCTGTGCAAGTAGAAAGCGAATTCGGGCTTCGGCATGGCACTCTCTTCTACCAGATGATCCAAAAGCGACCGTGTCTTGACGGAGAGCGCTGAGAAGGCCAAGCCAACGATGCCATCAATGGGGAAGGCAGCGAAGGCATCCCCGGACTCCTCTGAGATGAGGCCCAAGCTCTGCGCTTTCACACGGAAGGGGCCCACGAAAATGTCGTCGGATGCTAAGATGCCCGAGAGACGCCCGCTGCCATACTCCGTCTCAAAGCGTTCAGGCATGGCAGCTTGACGGAACGTCCTTGAATCGGAGCGGTTGAAGCGGTGTCGGGAAGGCCATGCGCAGGGACCCAAGGTGCACAGGTCAGAAGCCACCCACATGTCGGCGCTTCCCGTGTCAAAGACAACGCGAAGTTCAGCTGCGGGCTTTGGAGCACAAGTCTCTGTGCCTTGAACCTCTGAGGAACAGTTTCGAGATGTTCCGACCCCCAGGACACCCACGTATTCAGCACTTGAAAGATCCTCGAGCCGTAGGATCCCACGAACTTCTCCTTTAGCAGGGCCCAGGGAACCAAAGAGGGACTTGCGGAGGCCACGCCTCTTGGTCCGAAACAGCGAGGAGCGGTGCCGCATCAAGTCGCGGAGCTGTCGAGCCGACACATCAGTGCCGAAAGCTGGCTCTGGGCGCCTGAAGCTGGGAGTCGCGGAAGCTGCCGAGGCCGCGGAGGCTGCGGTTTGGTGCCCGAGCAAAGGAGTCACCACCGGAAGCTCTCGATGGAGTAAGGCGGCCCACGCCCCATCCGGGAGGCTGAGGACCAACAATGTGATGCCGAGGTAGCAATGCATGCTCTCCTCTGGCCTGAGACTTGAGGCTACAAGCAATGACTTGTTGAGGGATGCCTGAGCCGCGTAATATCCTGCGAGCTTGAGAACATATCCTTTTTGAAAAGAAGTCATGACAGCAACGTCATCAGCTGCTGGGCCGATGCAATATGGGCAGATAGCTCCAACTTGCCAACCTCGTCCTACTGCACTCTTTCCATGAGCCCATCCAAAAAAAGACGCACCTCAATCTCGCTCGCAAGGCCCGCCAAGCAGTGGATGCAGCCTGGGAGGAAGGTGAGCTTTCATCCCAGACCACCAGCTCCGACTGCGACCATGTGCCCCATGTTCCGCTCTCAGGTGTACAGGGTGCTCAGATATTTGCACCGTCCCTGCATGGAAAGCCTAGCAAAAAACGGTACAGTTTTAGCAGGAACACATGCGAAGCCTTCTGCGCAGTGCAGATAGCTGAAGGACACCCCGCATGATCAAGAGAGGGAACGTGAAACTCAAAGAAGCTGCGTCATTCACCTTCTGGCGAATGCTTGCAGCAAGCTGTCTGTAAGTAGATGCTAGCGAAAAAGAGTCAGAGATGTGGGGGAAGGCATGGCCATGGAGCCTTTTGTGGGAACAGAAGGGCAAACACAGCATTGAGAATGGTCAACAATTTGTCCATCGCCCGCCGCTCTCAGGCTTCAGCGAGCGAGCATGGCATTCACTGGGTCCTGCAGGCTCGCGGCTCATAGTTGCTGTACCCTGAACTTTACACATGCACATCTCACCGAGGGAACACGGGAGGATTCAGAACCTCCGATTGTTCGGGGTCTGGCTGCAAGAATGTCACGTCTTTCCTAGCTACGCTTCACCTGACCGTCTGCTGCAGGCATGGGGCTTCTCTACAGATTTGTTCCATGAAGTCCTGCCAGCCCCAATCTACTTGCGGGCTGGATTATCGTCCGCTCCCGTCTGAGATTCGGAAAATCTAGTGGTCCACATGGGCATCAACGAATTTTGCAAACATTGTCATCCCTTTCCTTGAGACCGCATATCGAAAATCCTCCTATTTCTTCTACAGAACCTGTAATACTTGGAGGGTCAGGGAGACTTAGTAAATAGGTCAATAATGGGAATAACTGGGGTTTTTATAGGGGTTATTAACCTACTCACTAAGCCCCCTGACCCTCCAAGTAACCTTTAGGGACAAAGAAGAAGCGCTGGCTTGCCAGGCTCCAGCTCCACGGTGATCACCGTTGGCTGCAACGCCGCCTGGGACCTGGGCAGCCGAACGTGTCATTGTTAGGTTCCCTCCAAGCTCCCTCCTGCGCTGTGACTTGTGAGGTTCAGAAATAATAACTGGTTCCATGCTCCTCGCGTACCTGACAGAGATTTGCGATAATGCTAGAGGATACTGCCCCCATGCCCTCATGCCAGCGATGATGAAGTCAAGCCGGCCTCGCAACTCTTTCAACATCTCTGATGCACTCATGGCCCTCAACATGGAAGCATGGATCTCTGCTTTAAGAAAACGAGGTTGGCTCGGGCGGCCTTTCCACTTACGGCCTCCGTCCTGCTTGAGGGAATGATTCCAGTCAGGGGCGGGGACTGGACATAAAAATCTACAAGCACAAACCTGCTACCAAGTGAATATCTAATTACAGTCAGTAAGATCATGTAGGATACACATCGTCCACAGCAGTAGGAGCCATATTGGGAAGCATTGCCCAGTATTTGAAGTGTGCTAGTTAATCAGGTTTGGTATTGCTGGCACCATTTGTGCTATGACGGCTGCTGCAGGTTTTGCTGCTAATCTTTTGGTGATACGGTGTGGTACAAGTAGCACTGATGCAACTCTTTTTCCCTGACGTTCCAGCGAAGATCCGCCAACGACGAGCGCTGTCCGCAAGGCCAGATGGACTGCTTCCAGCACTGAGGGAAGAGACTTTGTGGGTTACGCAGGGCACTGGTCTCTTTGAGTAGAATCGAAAGTTCCTGGAGATGTTGCGGAACGCTCGCCACGGTGTACTGCCGCTGTGGTGCTTCACATATGAGTTGAGAGACCTGCACCCTGCATGGCTCTGTGGTGTAGAACGGAATCGTCCCAATCACGCGAGTGCCTCTGTGGGGCTGTCTAGCACATTTATCCAGACAAGTATTTTGAGAAGGCACGAGATGAATCATCAGGGTTCTATAGGACACACCGGGACTCCCCTTCACACCTACGTCACAGCTGCGGAGAGGGCCACTCAGCGCTCAGTGGCCTGAATATTTGAATTTAGCGTCCTGACAGCCATAGTTGCAATGATCACGCTCTTGCTCATTGATTGTCATGCTCTTGTCATAATAGTACTGGAGCCAGTATCTGAAAAGAGCAAAGAGACCATACAAATAAGCGTCATCCGTGTTTACTACACTTAGCCCGACCTGCCCTGAACCGACTGGCACAAGTCAGCAGAACTTCTTTCATTTAAGAATTCATAGGAAAGTCTCTGCAAGGGCGGTTCTAACAGCCAATGCCCCTGAAGCTGGTCTTGGTTGTCCTTGTATTTCTGCAGGATGGCATCTCTCCTCTCCACGAACTCCTGCGAATAAAGCGGAACTCTGGGAGACACAGCGCAAAGCTATGTGTGTGGGACACGAACCTTTGTCAGCAGCCTTTCCCTAAAGACCCAACAGATTGCTTCCTCCGCAGTGAGGTAGGCCGGATTGAAAGGATTCTCGCCCAGCTTCCCGCCTTTCTGCTCCAGCAACTTCTTGCACTCCTGCCAAGCGGGCATACGCCCCTGAACACCAGAAGCATGGCAACACACCCCCTGAAAGCACACGATCTTGGGCTGGAACCCTGGCATTGAATTCCAGTCCTCCAAAGTCTTGTTGCTCTTTAACCCCAAGCCCGGCACCCCACGTCCTCAACGCGGCTCCAAATCCCATACTTGACGTCCAGAACTTCAAAAGCCTCTACTACACTCCTCCAAGTCTCTAAAATCTGAAGCCTTACACTGTCCACATCTCCAAAAAAAAGAAAGCAAAACCCCAAACCCAGCGCGGCGGGCTCCCGAAGGTGCGGCAGGCACTTGAAGGTGTCTAGCTCATCGGCCAAAGGCTGGTTTGGAACGAGCCGCTGCCGCTGCTCCTGGCAGACTGCTTGGTTTCAGGGTTGGTGGGGCAGGGTTTAGGGTTTGGGGTTCAGCGGGGTTGAAGCTGAATCAGGGTCCGGGGTCTATGGGTTTTGTGTGTACTCTTTAGGGCTAACAGTCTCAAACTGCATTGTATTAAGCTGTGTACACATACATGAGTGCGAAGGAGCGTCTTGGAAGTTGTAGGCGTCGAAAAGGGATACTATGCAAATTGGGCAAAGGTCTGCCCCAAATCATGGTTCCCTTTCTTTGGGAGTGTACTCTTTCATCGTTCAAGAATATATTGCTGCACACGGCTTTCTGGGATGTACGGCAATTTGGGGCTGTTCTTTGAGAAGTTTCTCGACATCGAAGGTTTTGTGCGGGAAGTTATATGAAGTGACAGGTGCTCGATCACATGCAAGAAGTATGGCGACAACAATAGCAAGTAGGAATACCATCACTCCTAGACCTCTCTAGATGGTGATGGACGACTAGTCCTGAAAATGACTGGGTTGCTGTTAAGGAACGTAGACTACGTTACCCATCATTTAAGTGTATAGTGAATAGTGAGGTGTCGTTGTCACAGTAACTTAATTACACTTCCTTAACGCAGCAACCCGGCCCATCCAGCCTCGGCTGTTCCATAGCCGTAGCCGACGATGCTTTTCCCTTCCATGATTTCACGCCTCTCCTGCCAAGATCTCTTTAGTGGACTTGTGGGGGCTTCTGGGAAGTAGTCAAGCAGAGTCCCCTCTAAGCATTCTGATCTTTGTTACAGGTACTTTCAAAAAAGGACCCACAACTGTGGAGCATTAGGATTCGTCCCATGAGACCCCCGATACTCAATATCTTTTCTGGGTTGCTGAGTTTCATATGACGTTGCCCAGTGTTGCTTTCATAACAATATTATAGTATAGTAAACAAACTACCGCCAACAATGACCCATGTGTGTCACACCCGGGGAAAATGTCAGTGGTTTTTTGGGTTTGTTTTCTCATGGGTAAGCTATGAAATAAAGCCATACGTTCGCGTGCCAAAGTACTAGTTGCCAGCCGGTAATGGACACACAGCATTCAGCAGTCCACAAACTCTTATATGGTTTTCGGGGTTGGGCCAGTGAACCTTCAAGCTGGATTCCACTGCGCTCAACCAATCTCAACTACAGCGTTCAGCTCCTTCCTCCAAAGGAACCAAGCGGTAGCGGTGTAACTCACGAATTGACCGGGAATTCAGTATTCTCAAGTAGCTCTCGTGATCAAAGCTAAGGCAACAGTCTACACCTTTCCGGCCTTGAAATGTCGAGTTCTGGTGCAGCAAAACCTTTACGAGTTTCCTTTGTGACCAGGTGAACGCTAGGCAAACCAACTCGGTGGGTGGCATTTCAACTCCTGACAGCCTGCAGCTTTGTTAGTACTACTCTTCTTGTTTGACTGGCGGCAACAACTATGCTAACAGCTACTCCACCACCATCAAAACTACCCACATCTCCTACGACTTCCCATCACAGCCATCACTTTTTCTGTCCATCATTTTTACTCAGCAACCTCAGAGTCCCCGCCTCCTGCGCCCGCATCTCCTGGAGGCGCGCAGCCTCCTGCTCCTTAAGCAACTCTGTGACCTGCCCGGTACAAGTCAGACCACCATGATTATTGCGCTGGTATGCTACTGATTGAGCTTTGAAAGTGCGCCGACTTCATATCACATGCTAAAGCAGTTTGCAGCTGTACTTAGACAAGCAAGACACAGGCGGACTCAAGGGAAACAGTGCTGAGTCAGTACTGCTAATAAGCAAGCACAATTGTGGTAGTAGGGGATGCAACTGCACTTGCGATCACATCATCAAATCAGGGGTCAGTCTTGCAAATCTGTTCGTGAAACGCTGCCTAGCTTGGCGCTTGCCATGAGCGCGTATAGTCCCCAAGAGTGTGGGTTCATTACCACGCTATACCACACTAACTTATACAGGACGTGCGCAGGCTTGGCTGAAACTCCCTTGCCTTATCCAGAGGCGTGAAGCCCCAGCCGCTCTCTACGTTCACATCGGCCTTGCTGTCCTGACACGGAAAATCACTAAAGCTTTAACCATCAGAAGGACACTCCCTAAAGTTCCTAGGAGCAAGCGATTCACATGTATATGCGTGCGAACAAGTCATCCAATACCCAATCTTGTTGGTCTGGGTTAGTGGAGCTCTTACTGCGCCATCGCTATTTCAAGCAGACGGTCATCTTGCCGACGAGAGGCCAGCAGCTTATTGATGAACGGCAGGTACTGGGAGCCCGTCCAGTTTTGGCCTGCTTCATGCAGCAAAACTTACCACGATTTGCTGTGGGAGGTGCATGCTGTGCACTGGATGACCTGCCAACATCTTGCATGAGCACTCCCCTTACTGCACGAATTGCTTCATGTCAGGAAGTACAAGTGAATTTGCCGCCCCATTAGTGACTATTAGGACCTTGTTGGCGCTCTTTGTTGGATAGGAACGCTCTGACCGAGGCTGCGACAGGCAAGCATCAGTGGCGTGTTGCCGTCTTTGTTGCGGGCGTTGACATTGGCACCCTGCCAGGCACCGTTTAACATTGAGGAACACATCCTGACTTGCTTGATCTTGACTTCTGTCCCCGAGTCTTCAAGAGCAGCGCTGCAGCTGCCAGCTCATGGCTGATGGCTGTCTACATCCTTCTAAACAATGGGCCCGGTGTGCAGCATGTACCACTTCTGTTTCCGAATGCGTGCTGTTTCTGACAGGATTTTGTTTGTTTTCCAGCACGACCTGCTTGAGAATTTTCAGCAGCTGGGCTACGTTTAGACGAGGCTTACTGTTTCGCTAGGACGTGCACTCTTGTGGTACCTTCATTCTAGACGCACCAACACAAGTTGTTCAACGTTGTGCTCTGTCTATGCAACCACTAAAAACTACAATCTCTTCACTGGTAGGCCCGATTAAGTGCCCAAGGTTTGCAAAAAATCCCGTATCTGTACCTCGGTCACATCAGTTGTCACTCAAGGCCACTGCAGAAGTGTGATACAGCAATGCTCATCAAAGTGGCCCAAAAAAGTCGCATGAAATGTGTGATTCTGAAGTGGCATTTTTCTTGCTTGCATTGCCTCTGGACACCGGGCATGCATTCCACCAAGATTCAGTGCCCCGAAAGGGAGAATGGAGGTTTGGGTGTAGGAATCATGGAAGATGGATGAATGAATTCCACGTGTAAGTATTGAAGCTCCTATACTCATGATCTCTTCTGCCACTCAGTCCTAAACCCTAAAGGATTGCATTCCTTTGCCTTCTTGATGGCACGGTCCAGGTTGGCCATGCTCACGGAGTACTGGCAGGCCTTCCGCGGATTGCTGGCCGCTATTTGGCTTGCGATTGGACAGGGCTTTCTTTCCTGCGTTTGCTGACTTCGTAGCGAGGGTGTCTTCGGGGTATACTGATCCCAAATTCTACGGTGGCATGTCGCGCTCACCAATCCCTCCATGATGCTTGCGGGCCCATACCAAATCCATAGGTCCACATCCGAGGTTGGATTCCATGCTGCTGCCAATTGAGAAGCACGCCCTTAATTCAGCATTCCTGTTCAGCCTCAAAAGCTCCGATCAAGACAGTCGCGGTACAGCCCACTGGGCCTGAAAGAGGAAGTCATCCGCAGTCTGGTTTTTGGCAGTCGGAATTCCATTTGGAGGGTATAACCTCCTTGGCTGCTGGACTCGAAGCCAAAGAACTTTGTCTGTGTTGCCGACAGTTGCTCTCATTGTTTCTTCAGCTCCCCCTTGACCCATTGATTCGTAGGCGACGAATACATTCACAATATTGATGGCCAAGCTAACATCAGGATTCTAGGTCTCTTTGCGACGATGGCATGTCACTCTTCTCTTTTCGGCACCCTGGCCTGTAAGTACTGCTTGACTTCATCCACTGAATTCCAACTTCCCTGAGGGGCTCCAGCGGTTAGCTTCTTGCACAATCTTGCCATTTGGCGGCCTGCAACCCAGCGGTATGCCTAAAGAGCCATCGATGCATGGTGAAGACAACAGATTATTTGGTTCTAGGGGGCCTTCAGAATCATCCTTCAGGAACTTACGGGGCCTCCCCTATATAGAATCCCATATAACCCTAAACCATAAGTCCTATGTGCTGTGTTATGGTACTGGTAGCCCCTGAGGCGAAGCACTTGAGGTCGTCCTGCTTCACTATCCTCACCGGCATCCTGCGCCGATCAGAGCTTGGCAACTTTCTGCCACTGAGTTCCCGAACTAGGATTAACACTTCTCCATAACGGACCCGGCGTTCTGCTGGCATTCTTCATGGTGCATGATGCAGAACTTTGAGGAGGGGAGAGGAGGGTGCCCTTTGTTGGAAAGCTACATCACGGCATCACCTCATTTGAGAAACGTTCGCCTCTTATTGTTTCCTGTACTCTTGCATCATGATCCTCAGAATTAGCAATCAAAAACCATAGTCATGGCTATTACATTCTACTACCTTGCATCTTGAGGGCTGTTATTCCCTAAATTCTCGTTGCAGCTCACACATATGGCAGTCCTTGCGAACTTCGATGCCGTTCTACCGCGGCTGCTTGAGCCAAGGCAAGGAAAACAGGAGTCGGGATTGAACCCAGAAATGACAATGTCACCTTGTAGCTGTGTCGTTGCAAATCCATATATAACCCTATATAGTAGTTTCCATTTTCTTTTCCATTATCCCAATATATTCCCAATATAACCTCCATATAATCCCTATATAATATAGTAGTTTTCATTTTCTTTTCCATTATCCCAATATTACCCCAATATATACCCTATATAATCATGAAGGTAGTGATCAGAGGAAGAGGAGGAGCAACGGAAGAGCAGGGACAGGAGCCGCAGCAGCAGTTTTTCAAAGCTACGCCCTTTGGCCAGTCAAAAAGATGCAGGATTTCCATCCTGCTAACAGTAAGCGCAGTAGAAACTGTCCGAGCCAAGCATTCTTGCTTTATTGTTTGGGTGAATTCTCGCGCTTTCAATGGTTTGGGTCCCAGTCCCATGCCCGACTTAAGATGATGGATTGTCAGCGTCTAGGATCCCCATACCATGCTGCTAGGATCCTTCACATTCGCGCTAGCGCATCACATGGGCTCTTGGGGAGGCACTACAGCAACTGAGTCTGAATGTACCACATCTAATCCCGCTGTATTATGAAGCCTCCAAACAACTCCTACAGTGTTCTCCAGGATGAGCACAGCCCTTTTTCACTTCTCATAAGCCCAAGGATCTGTAGGGGTCTTTTGATTTTGAGATCCGAACCGCCAAATCCTGAACCTCCAAACCCCAAACGCGAAGGCATCCGCTTTCTCTTTACCCTGCCCCAAACTGGGCCTCCAAAAGGCCCCTCCCGCTTAAATAAATATCCAAATCTGGAGTCTCATGCTCTGCATCGGGGAGGGTACTATTACTATTACTATGACTGTTACTATTACTAGTACTATTACTATTACTAATACTACTACTTCTTCTACTTCTGCTTCTACTACTACTGCCACACCCTGCTCAGGAAGGGGCCCTTCGGACTGGTCTGGAGACGGTGGCAAAGACGCGGCGCCTCGAGCCATGGCCTGCCCAATGTGAAAAAACACTGAAATTCACGTGTCTAAAGCCAATAGGACGCCTCAATGTATTGGAGACCCAGGTATAACTAACTATTAATGTAACATTCGCACATTCAGACGTATGTGTATATATATATATATGTAATAGACATATTGGAGATATCTTCCCAAATGGATTAGGGACTCATGCTACGGGTGTTGCAACCTGAAGCGTGAACAACTGCAAAGGGGGTCAGGTGTGACGTGCTGCTAGAACGCAAGGAGCGTAAGGGGACAGCATTTCCGATTGTTCAGGAATTCCTCCATTTCTGGTTGGCATGTCCGTCATGGCTCACAGCGATGGGTCCTCTTAGAGCAGAAGAACTTCTTGCATACTGCGCTGCATACCATGGAATGCATATTTTAAACACAGCAGCAGATGCAATACTTACACAAAGCGATGTGGGCCCCTCAGCAATGTACATTAAGCAGTGCTCACCGCTGGGACTTTTTGCAGGCATGTTGACGGCTGAGGCTAGGGCAAGAACGGCTGCCGAATAACCGATGTAGCTCCCAAGCTCCTCCATTCTGACTTCGAAGCTTGCACAAGACGCCCTAACAATTAGGGAGCATGGAGATTATGTAAGCCTCAGAGCTAGGATTACAATGATCCAGGGCAAGATGATGGCATTGGATTGATTGGATTCTTTCCAGCCTTTGGCCTTTGCTGGTGCTGCCAAGGAGCCACCACCAAGCCTTCCGGCGCTTCGTGAGCTGCCCGTTCTAGTATACGGCGCTTCACGCCACCTGTTTCTGAGAAGCAGAGGCTTTTTCCGAGGGTTTAGCTTGTTGGGGGAGAGTTCGGACATTCCTTTGAGAACGGCTCTGAGTCAATGAGTTCCTATCCTAAGCTGAGACACTCGAAAGGCATATCAACTGTTGACTGGCGAGCGGTAAAGAAGTATCTCGCACTGCGTCTCCAAACCAACTCCTGCAGAAACCTCTGGCAGGCGCGCTATCCCAGTCAGCTGCACACACACCACGGTCAAAGGACAATTGCACCAATCTCGTTCTCGGACTCCCGCTCTACTGCATGGGGTCTACCAAATTTCAAACCGACTCACAACCCAAGTAACATTTGTGGGTTTCTAACCTGGGGGTCCCTTGCATGTGCCTTAAGAATTACCAAAGGGATACAACACATTCTTTGTGAAGAACTCTACTTTGGGGGGTAGCCGGGGAGCCCTCACATGAACACCGCACATGGAATTCTGCTCGAAATGACTGTTCCTAGAAGAGGCAGCGAATATCATGACTGACCTGCATTACGAGGGGAGCCCACACGACAGAAAGAAGCAGCTACTATACGAATTATAGGGAACTTCTCGCACTTTGCGCCGCCTGCCAGTTTCATGAAGGTCTTGCGACTGGCGAAGGTCTCGATCTCGCGAATCCTGTTTGCGGGCCAGCTTACCCGAACCCCCTCCCGCATGCAAGGATGACACACTTCCCCCACGACAAAGATAGTCTACATCATGCCAACATAAGACAATGATATGTTTTTTTTTTTGTGCGGCTCTATGTTTGTGGCCAGAGGACATGGAGCAGCGAGCTCCGAGCTGAAACATCCAAATGTCCACGGCTACCGGTGCGCTACGAGGGAAGGCCGGGTTAATCAGATATCGCCATCTGTCACAGCTTCTTGAGACTCCTTACAGGTCAGATTCCCTTGCAGCACAAAAACAATCAGGATCCTCAAAGGCACCTGGATGTTGAGAAAACTTCCAAAATACACATCCTTCACGACCGGAACATGATCAAAACTTGGACCCACTGCCGGGGCCGACGCACATCCTCTGCGGCCCACGGAAAGGCACTGGCCGCCAGGTGCCGCAGCAGCTCGAACTCCTTTCTCCTGCTAAGCTTCCGCACTAGAATCCAAATCGAAACACTGTTTCGTAAAGATGCATCACAGACAAACAGGAAGCCGCATGTTTGACCAACTCACAGGCTATGAACTCTGAAAAAAGACAAAGTAGCTATCCGTTGAACGAGTGAACCAGTGAACAAACGAATCAACGAATACATGAACAACATCCAGGATCCAATCAGTTTCTGCAGGCTACACCATATTTTGATGTTCAATGGCGGGGCCGAAAGCTGTGTGCAGAACCTTAATGCCTAAGATGTTGAGCGCTTACAAGAAGACCATCGCAAAGCTGGAAGCCCAGTTTCCAATTCATTGTCCAATTGCTTGTCCATTGGATTCTCCATTATCGGGATAATATCCCTGTATCTCCCAACCCCAATATAATCCCACATAGTTCCCGTAATCTGAATTTTGCCATCCGAAATCATCAGGCCTCTGGAATTAACACAAGGGCAACCCTCCTAATGACCTCGTCCTTGCAATGAACCCCGCACCACCAAAATATTAATCATAATCAATATGTAGATATCCTTGCAGTTCCCCCAGTGGTACCCCAAGCCCTAAACCCTACACCCTTTATTATTAGGGGTAGGGGGAAGTTACTTTGAGGGTGGGGATTGTTCCGGCCTCTCAGCGCTCCGGTCCCGTGGCCCGGAGCGGAGGGCTGTGGCCAAGCTGCGGAGAGATTTGGCGACCTCCGGGTAGGGTTGAGGTGTTTAGAGTCTAGGGCTGAAGGGTTGAGGCGTTTGGGAATGGGGTCAAGAGCTGATGGTCTAAGGGTCTGGGGATTTGAGGGTGCTACCTGGACATGCGAAACTTTAACTAAAGTCAGAAGAACAATGAAGCTGTAATGAGGGCTGCAGTTTCGGGGCGTTGCAGGGAAGATCTTGGTTTTCTTGGCTCACATGGGGTTTGTCATTGTCCTGGGAGAGCACGTTTTGCCGCAGCCAAGGATGAGAATAATACCCACTTTCCACTACGCTCGATGGCGCAGTTGGCGTGATCAATGCTCTTTCGCGTCTCGATCTCTGCAGCTACTCAGGTAAAGGCTTAGCTGATTGTCATGAGAGCGGCCGCAACAGAAAAAAGGAGCAATAAACACAAGAGGACACATTCTGCCAATGCTGAACTCTGATGCGGTCTGGAGCAGAGCATTGACTCTTCGGTTCTGCTGCTGTCCGCTGCAGTACCGCGAAGCGAGCGGGCAGTCGTTGAGCAAAGCCATGCACCTACTTAAGTCGTGTAGGCTTGTGCCGAAAGTATGGTCAGTTTATCAGGTCCCCATACTCAGGGGCCTTCTGCTTCTTGGGTGTAAATGGAGAACCCTGTTTTCTGGCACATATTTGTGCATGAGCAAGTCTAAGTTAAATTGCTGAAATATGTTTGGAAGCGCGTCGAGTCCTGCCAAGCCCCCCAAGGGCGTGCCGGCACGAGACGCGAATTTCGGAGCTTGCTCAACTCTCATGCCTTCACAAGGTCTGCTTCTAGCCACGTGAAGACACGTACCCGCGGAACGTCCAGATCAAATGAACCATGCTAAGTGGTCACCCTGAGATCAGCTGTCTCGTGGCCCGCACAGTGGCTTGGGCACTGACACTTAGCTATGAGTTACATAACACTTGCATCTGCTGTGCTTGAACACGTGGGGCTATCAAACCGAAGGCACCCAGCTTGTATCCCAACATATAGTCGGTGCGATTTGCAACCAATGCCCGTGAAAGGATCATAACTTTGAGAAAGGTCTAGATATCGCCTGGCGAGATTGCCCGCATGATCTTTCTGTCTGTCCTGGTTTCGACTGTGACCGAGCAGGCTCAAAAGCGGCTGTTATGCAAAGGTTTGGCGGGAAACTTGCAGACTTTCAACATTTGCCATGTCGCTGCTGCGGTCTTGGTTGGTGACTGGCACGGCATCCTTCCACGTGGTCATGTCGTGACATCATGTGCCGGTGTTCATCTGCATGAAGCGGCACCCTCTGCCCCCAAAGATTGGATCCAAAGAATCATGGCAGGACTGATTCTGTGCCCCCTAGCCGCTAGCCCTAGATCCTTATAGGAACTGTTGCGCTGGTGTCAGTGATGAGACGGCGACCCAATTTCGTCGGAGATTGGCAATGCTGAGTTGAACACAAGCATGCTGTCATGCTGACGACTCCTCTGACCTCTTGGCACCGGATGAACAAGCCGTCTTGGCCAACCATCTAGCTACCTAGCGTTCTGTGTCAGAGCTCATCTTCTGTTCCTGATGTGATGTTCAAGTTGATGAATGTAATCTTTGTCTATCAATGAGCTGATAACCTCTATCACTGCCCAAACCGCGGCTGCTGCTGCTGCTGCTGCTGCAGCAGCTGCGACCACCACTACGTACTCTCCTCCCGCCGCCACTTTTCACTGTTGATGGACGAATCGCGCATGACTCTAGGTATACAAGACTAGCGCAATCGCACAGGTTTGGGTATACATACGGTCATTCAGGATTTGCTTCACCCAGCCTATGACTATACCACTCTTTCTCCTACGACCTGCTGTGAGTGCAGTGCAACTCAGCTTTGCATGTCCGATCCCTTCTTGGCCCAGCGGCACCCTCAGCCGCAGCTGTGCCAGGGCGCCTTCCGCGAGCGATGAGCGGATTGTTAGGTATCCTTCATGATCCAACATGAGCTACAGTCCAAACTCCCTAAATTGGGCTTATATAAGGAGTGATAGAGGGGACTACTATGGGGCTTATAAGGGGCATACTGGGAGTTTGGACTATAATGGCTTACATGGCTTCTGCTTGTCTGAAAAATTGACATAGTCTGATTCCATGCTGCGGAAGCAGTGGGAGTGCCCACTTTGAGAGAGTATCACGACAGTAAATCATAAGACCTGTTCATGGTTCGGCCCCTGCAATAGATCAATGGAATCTTTCATGTCCCGTTTCGTAAGCTCGGAGAACTTGCAATGGATGCTATGCCAAGAAACGTGCTCTCAAGACACTGCCAAGGAGATGTGCGCGAGGTGCACCTCAGACGCATGCATGGATGAATCCTGTAAAGCACGGTGCTACGTTGAAATGCTAGTGTACCGAGATGCCTGAAATATTACGCGGCAAACAACATGTCGCAAGATTGTAGACCTATGGTCCCACTCAATTGCACCTGCGCTTCATAGAATTCCTCTGTCTTAGGCACTTATTGTCTCTGGATTTTAGGACATGGTAAACGGAACATACACACCTCCCGCTCCCAGGCCGTAGACCAATGCTGAGGCACACAAAGCTGATCTCCACAGCTCATTTTGAAGGGCTCTTTTGGGAGCTGCATCAGCTTCTCCTGGGCTCATGGGAATTAGCAGGGAATTAGTACTGCTACGTGTTGCTACGTGAGCCTTTAAGCCAACCCTGATGATCCTGATACGTCTCTGTGGCTGCCATGGTACCGGTGGCAAGGTCACATCTGCAAACAATGCTGAAGTCACCTGATACATCCTGCCGAAGCTCGAAGGAGTCATCGGTGGCGAAAATGAAGGCGAGCACGCGATTGACGTACGTCACCTCTGCGATGTAGTCAGCATGATAGCGGGATTACAGGTCCAGTAGCACCCTCAACAACAACTGCTCATGGCGATGCAAGGCCCACACGGATTCGCTCTGCTCGCCCGGCTTGACCATTCGGATGGCGGCCTAGGCTACAGCTATGACAGACATGACAGCTGATCCGAGGCCAGTGGCCTGCAAGTCATCCTTGGTCACATCGCCATACCAATAAACACACTTCTCGTCGGGTCCGAGGATTGGATCATCATTTTTGTCCTGCAGGTCGGGATATATCACATCTTTTGCCATGAGCCTCATGATGAAATATCACCTAGCTCCAAGTAGGACATGTGGATGTCACAAGCAGGCAGCAAAGACTTGCGAGTGGAGGCAACTCAGCCCTTTACAGTGCCCTTGGCGAGCTGCATCAGCACTTCCTTCAGCAGGTGAGTACAAGGCTGGGCAAAACACGATAAGCCCTGGTCCAATCTGTTCTGGTATTGGCTGGTGTCCAGGAAGCAGCTCAGTCCCCTACAGAGTTTTCTTGTAGCATTGCAAGAGGTCAGTTGTACTACAACGCCGACGGATTCGACAAGGCATCAAAACCCTCCTCAACATCAAATTAAAGTGCAGTTCGTAGGTGCTTCACAGGAATTCGGAGATCTTGCACTGCCAGCACTCGTGCAGAGAGTGATTGGTTCCGCGCTTGGGCTGAATCATACAAGTCAGGTACGCAAGCCCATTACTGTCAAGCGCCTTAACACATGTGAGACTTGCCTCAAGCTGCTCCGGCGTGGAGAAGAACTCCTTTGCGCGTGGGTGAGCATACCTGACCAAAAGAAGCCCACTTTCACAGCGCCAAGCAGATTGCGAGGAAGACTACGATACCTGGTGTTCGCCAAGTCACTCGCTCCAACGCTCGATGGCCGCGCGCCTCAGCTGCAAGAGCTTCACTTTGCGCGCTAGCGTGTCATCCACTGGCAAACGGCGCATGCAATGTCTACCAGGCAGTAAGTACCCCAGGAGGGGGGGGGAACAGTTCGTGAACAGTTCGAGAACAGTTCCGGAATACAGTTCATGATCAGTTTGAGAACAGTTCCAGA